TTTTTTTTTTGGTCCGAACCCCATATGTGCTACCTTGACCCGTCACCCGATACCCAGGCCTGAAAAAAGGTGATACCCTCTACGAAGACATCCTGTCCCGAGCCGTCCATTGTTTCACCCTTCCCCCAGGTATCCCACCTGCGAGATTGTGGGCCCTTTCTTCTTGTACTTCGCTCTGTCTCTTGTGTTCAGCCATATCCGTCAGAGTCCTGTTTCTTTTCTCCTGGTGGATCTACCGTCGAGCCCCTGCGTCCCTTAGCCCATCGCCCTACTTATGTCATATTCCACCATCCCAATATTCACCCCTCCGCCATGATCTCGCAGCCGCATTACGTGCGCTAGCTTTGGCAACAAGCTTGCATGTTTTTGGATCAGGGCGTCGTAGGTCTGGATTACGATCCCCATCGTCTACGCCATACCTCTCTCGCTGGACCTTCCCTTTGTATAAGCCCTCAGGCTGCGGTGAGGACTGCGCTACCTTTGCATAAGCCCTCACACCATGCTTTCTTGAAGCTTTTCTGTTCTCCTCTCTATCCCGTTCACCGAGAATGAGTCGAGTCAATTCTCATACATGAATCAACCTTTGGCCTTAAACGACCAGTACTTCCTACAGTCGTGCCCGTTAACGCTACGTGATTTTAGGAAACGTACGGGCCACTACAGGAGCGCCCAAATTCATCCAACTAGAAACGTTTCTACTCTATTTCTTACCGCGGCCGATAGCTGGTCCAAGTACTGGTGGTTTAAATGTCAAATAAGAGAGGCCTCTGCTTCCCGTTGCACCAGCTCTGCCTGCTATCTGCTGCCCTGGCAGCACCTGCACGATGGCTTGTCGGACGATACTTCCGCGCTCTTCTGATTCTGAGGATGGTGTCGCGGTCCGGCTGGACAAGCATCTGGAACGTTTGGCTGTCCTATAGATTGCACATCTTGTGTATGATGCTTTGCTGATATGGAGCGCTTGAATTGTTACCTTTGTGACTGCTGCGACTTTGTGATAATGGGATCAGCACATTGATTGGATATATTAATCAATCGATGATATCGCTGGTCCTGCACCTGCGCACTTTCAATCTTCCAATTACGTCCGGATGCATTCGAAATGTTGGCGGACGGCAAACTAGGCTGTATGCTGATTCTCAGTCCCAACTCCAATGCCGAGTGGTGCAGCTAACTCCGATCCGATCCGAATGTGATAGACTACCATCTTCCCTCTAATATAGCATGATGCACCCGGAATATGAATGTACACAAGCCGCCTTTCTGGTCAGGTACACTCATGATGAGAGTGTATTGTGTTCGGTGGAAGACGGTAGCCGTGTTTTTATTTTTGTGCCGATCGACATCAACAACTGTTTTGAACTCCAAAACTGAAACCGCAACCCCCTTCCTCGAGAGAGAAGCGTTTTGAAAATTTCTAAAGGAATCTGAAACCTTCGAGATACGAAAACATTTAGGGCATATACTCACTCTGGCACTTTCCTAAATGAATCTGACTGCAATTTCGGCCAGATCTTGATGTATCTGACGATAATCACAATCCCGAGCCAAGTGAAAAAAAAAATCCTCGTTTGAATATGCCCCTGTTCTCTGTTTTTTTTTTTTTTTTTTTTTTTTTTTCCTCCAAGCAGGAACCGCAGGTGGGGTGTACAAAGGGCGGGGGCGTGATCAGTGTGAGTGGCTTGACTCGCTCTTCCTAGGGTATCCCTTATTTTTTTCAAGGAGGAGGTGGAGTATGCAGGGGGTGACGATTCACGTTTATTACCGTCTTCACCTGAATAGAACGCCCGGTTATTATAGCTGCATTTGAACCAACTTTGGGTCCCGATGCAGCCATTATGACCGGGCGTTCTATTCGGGTGATGACGGTAGACATCCCTTGTTCAAGATCGAAGTTTGTGAGTATGCCCTTTCACACAAAGAAGATATGAAAAATGGAGTCGCCGATTTTCAAAAATTAAGTTCATGCGAGAAGATGGAAATGCTCCGGAAATGCTCCTTCGGGATCTCCGCTAAAATTTGAAGCATTACAGAGAATGAAGATTAACATGGCCAAAAAAATAAATAAATAAATAAAAAAATTAACATGGCCCCTGCGGAAAGGGATGTCACTACATAAATACAGAAATGGTCCTCTGACCGACCGGCCTATCTCAGCTGGAACACCCCTGAACTGTTGAAATACAGATCCCAAGTCTAGATTCAGATGTAATCAGGATGAAGTCTGATAAACAGAAAAAGATAATTCTGGATTACCAAAAAAGAAAAAAGAAGAAAAAAGATGCAGCTCAGTTCATTCAGTTCATTGTTTGATATAGCTCAAGACCGTCAGCCTTTGGAAAAAAAAAAGAAAAAAGAAGAAAAAGAGGGAAATGGAGTTCCCGATTTCCAAAAGTAAGTTAAGTCCACGCAAAAATATTGAAATGGATTTGCCGATTTGCAAGTTGCAGGTTGCTCTTGTGACTGGCCTCGAGAAAGGTAGGGTGTCCAGTATTAAGCGGGCTTGGCTTGATGTGTACCTAGTTGGGCTAGCTTGATGTGTACCTAGTTGGGCTAGCTTGGTGGTTTAGGTTTGGTTTAGCTTTTATGTGATAAGGGTGAAGACATGGCCAAGGAACTTGTCATGCTAGCACATGCACACCGTGCAGGTTCATGCTGTACCACATAGCCATAATACATGTTTATATGTCGTAACACATGCCCATGGCACATGTCTATTCCATAGCACGTGCCCATTGCACATGTGTAAGCCATAGCACATGCCCATAGCGCATGTCTATGCCAGATGCTATGCTGAGATTGTGTGATGCTCTTAGGGTCACCGCCAGGATAAGCTCCACAGGTGTGGAGTCTATTACTATGTGGAGCTCAACTTGTGGTTAAGGCCAGCTTCACAGAAACTATACCTATGCTATGTGCTACTATGTCTGTGCTATGCGCTACTATGTCTGTGCTATGTGCTACTATGTCTGTGCTATGTGCTAAGTCAGCATAACTTGATGCTCTTGAAGGTAGCCACACCTATACTTTGTTATGCGCYAAGTCCACAAGGCAGGATGCTATGCGCTACTATGTCTGTGCTATGTGCTACTATGTCTGTGCTATGTGCAAAGTCAGCATAACTTGATGCTCTTGAAGGTAGCCACACCTATACTTTGTTATGCGCTAAGTCCACAAGGCAGGATTTGTGGATGCTATGCGCTACTATGTCTGTGCTATGTGCTAAGTCAGCATAACTTGATGCTCTTGTAGGTAGCCACACCTATACTTTTGTTATGCGCTAAGTCCACAAGGCCACAAGGCAGGATATTATTTGGGGCAGCTTTCACCAATACTACGTCTGTGATGTGTGGTAAGCAAATGTGCTAAGGCAGTGGGATTTGAGACTCTTTGGGGCATATCACCAGCTCCAGAGATATTATCTCTGCACTATGTGCCAAGCGCATCGTAACTTGGCACATAACTTACTTAGGGAGGACTCTACAAAGACCAAGTTAGCGTTCAACTTGACGTGCTTGTATGACTTTGAAGTGCTCTGGCATGGGTTCACAGAAAGTATGTTTGTGCTATGTGCCTGTATGACTTTGAAGTTTGAAGTGCCATGGCAGGGGCCCACAGAAACTATGTTTGTGCTATGCGTTTCATTCGGGTGAACACGTTAGTGCCACCAAATCGCCGATGCTATGCCCGTGCATGTGCTTATGAAGTGAGCATGCCTATGGTCAGTGCAGCAACTGCATTTGTGCTGAACTTAGAACCGACAGCGAACCTGGGGGCCCTGCAGCAACCTTGGACACTCTATGAATTAACATACTCGGCTGCGAACAACAAAACAGGATGCGGAATGAGCATGCTAGGAAAAAAAAAAAAAAAAAG